CCTCATTGCTAAAAAGCAGCAGTTTTGGTGAAACAGATACGTCGTTTTTCAAAACCTGAAATGTTACAGTAAGTTTTCATTGACCCAGAAAATAAACTGTCTCGTACTGGCAATTAACGTTTGCATTAAATTATTATCAGTTTATTGATAGTTTCAGGATGGCATCCAAAATTGCCACAAATTAAAACAAGAGTCACCGACGGGCGGGGGCAACGCTCGATTTTTTTAATTTTTCTAAATGTTTGTACAAATCTTAACGTTTCCTTTTTAGCTCGACTTTTTTGAAAAAAAAGTAGAGGTATTGTACCTGGATCATAACTTTTTTAGTTATTGGTGTATTGTCTTCTTACTTGGCCACATCAACCTTTGGCACAAGACCTTTCAGTAGACCACACTGACCTTGACCTTCATCCATAAATGGCTTTGACCTTCAAGTTCAAAATTCCAAATGTTGGCTGTTTTTGCTAGTATTGTGTGTTACTTTGTTATTTTTAATGGATTGTCTTCAAACTTGAACATGATAATTTTCAAGGATATCCCTTAAAAAAATAGATATACCCTGACCTTCGCCCATAAATGACCTTGACTTTGAATGTCAAATTATTGAAATTGTCATTTTTTTGGCTATTATTGGCTGTAACATTGTTTTTTTTTTTTGAATGGATTGTCTTCGAAATTGAACATAATAATCTTCAAGGATAGCCCTTTTAAATAACCTGACAGAACTTGACCTTCACTCATAACTGACTTTGACTTAGAATGTCAAATTATTGAAATTTTCATATAGTGAAATAAAAAGGGCTACTTTCTTTATTATTTCAAACACATTTATGAACGAAAAATATCTTATTCTCAGGCATTATAGTTAATTTGTAAGTATTTTGGTTATAATGTTTATTCCGAAATCAAACGTTAAATTTCCCCTAGGAGGAAGACTTCAAGTAGTAGACGGAATGTTCTTAATATTTGAATAGAAAATAATTTGATTATTAATATGCAAATTTATGAAAAGAAAACGCGAGTCACTATGCTTCTAATTAAATCATTTGCCCCTAAAAGAGAGTTTATTTTACTCGTTTAGATTATTTTTAAGAGCAGACGTCTCAAAAGCATAGGTACCCTATCAGGGCTGGGAATCAAAACTACGTCGTATCCTACAAAATGTAAAAAAACGCCGCCATCTTTGAACGAAAAAGGTATGTTTTCGTTTATAACTCTTTTTTGTTGGAAATGACTGAAAACCAGATACATGTATTAACACGCATCACTATTTTCCGGTTCGGTATATGTTGCTTGAACAATTATTTTGTAAAACAAAAGTAATAGCGAACCTGCAACTCGAAGCGGAGCAGAATTTTTATTAAATTGTGTGGATACCACGCAGTTCTTATTGCTTTATAAATTGTTTTTTTCCTTCAGATCAATTATATACTCGTTTCAGAGTTCGCCATAAGCTTTAAAATATAATTTTGCATCATTAACTAAAATTTCCTTAAAAAGAAATGTTTATTTTCCAAGAAAATAATAATTTGAATGAAATGATACAAAGCAGTTGAAAATAAAATATGATACGACGCAGTTGTATTTTCATTGCAGGCTGCATATTGGTTCAGCTGCTTGTAACGTCCAACAACATTTCTTGTTTACAAGTTTAGTCAAAAACAGAGGTCACTCATTGGTTCCAAGAAAATGGAAAATCTAATAATTCTTTTTTAGTAAGGCTTTTTTTGTCCCATTTTAACATCTGTCATAAGCATCTATAAATTCCAGAAAGCTGTATCAAATGCAATATACATTGAAACAAGTCATAACACCCAATGTCAACTTGCTCTAGCGTTGCGTTTGAATGCTTATAAACTAGTTACCGTGAGTTCGATACTAAAGGGGGTTGTTACTTTTTTCATTTGCAGTCTTTTGATATCCAGTGTAACCTCTCGGGGACCCTCCCCCCAAAAAGGAAAAGAAAATCAAGAGACATTAAATTTTAAATTAAATTGATTATTTATTACAGAATGGAATGTCATTAACAGTATTTGATTTAAAAACGTAATAGATAAGAGTTGGATACTTTAATTAGTGTGATTACATTGTGCCCGTTATAGTATAATATCACCGATGCACTTGGTTCGTATCCATTTAATTCTTCAAAACTGAAGCTTTCAATATACATCAGAAACTTGTTTTAATTTCTTATTCAATAAACAGATATTTTTACCTTTGGTTGAATAAAGGTATAAATAAGATTCCAAAGAAAAATCATGTATATATCTCTCGGTTATGTCGAGGAAATGTCCGTTTGATTTATCAAGACATCAAAATTGCTACCTTGAATAGCTTTAATTCAATTTTTCTTCGTTATACTCAAGTTAAATAAACACGCTAGGGTAGAGTGTTGAGGTAAAAAACAATAAACATTTTGCTCCGTTTACTCCGTTGCCCCAAAAATCTCCGTTGTGCATTTTAGTCATTCCCGATGAATTCTGAAGTAACGTTTTTACAGCTGCCACACGACACTTTACAGTAAATAAATCTGGAAGAAGGGCATTAATCAAAACAAAATCAAACACACTGTATAAAATTATTAAGGCATCACGTTAATGGATATGTGTTTCCATAAATGTATCTTTTTCTATGTTGATAACAAAGAATAGTGTGTACAATCAAGAAACCAACTTCAAACACTTTCCAAGTTTTTCTTCAAAATTTCCTGTTTAAGTCCTGCTGTGTTCGTCATTGTCATATATATAATATGTTACACTTCTAATCGGAACGTACTTGAAGCATTTTTATTCTGAACCTTTATAGCGCCACTTTTCATTAGAAAAAAAAACGTGACGTTTATTAATGTCCTAGATTGAAATAACATTTAAATGGCAACTGTGACTTTAAGCGACGCGTTTTTATTCGGTTGCGGTCTGTTTTTACCGTATATTTTTAACTTCCGGTATTGAGTCGGTGAAACTCGACAATTTCCGTCACTGATGTACATTGTCAAGCTCACCCATGCAATATCGTGAACACTGGTCACTCGTTCTGTGTTGTACTTGTCCAATTGTTTTGTTCATTGCGAGAAAGATATCCATTGGTTCTTTTAAATATTCTTAATTTCTGCGCATTGTTTGCTTTTTATGCCGCTCACTCTTAACAGAGTCAGACGTATAGTAAATACAAGTTAATTTATTTAACATTAGATTTACTGCTTACTTTATTAAGCGAAAGGGGATTATAGGAATGGCCTCCGTCTGTCTGTCTGTCCATACCACTTTCGTATCCGCTCCATAACTTTTAAATCGCTGATTTTTTTTAAAAATAACTTGGCACCATAATAAGACGATGTGCAGAGCGCAAGAATTGGGTTGCTACCACAAATGTCAAGGTCAAACGTTCAAATCTTCATTTCATAATAAAATGTCTACATTTTGTGTCCGCTTTGTAACTTTTAACCAAAAAACTTGGCACAAGTAATCATTATAATGCAACGACCTGCAGAGCGCAAGAAATGGGTTGCTACCCCCAAGGTCAAGGTCTCACTTAGGGGTCATTAAGAAGTTTTCATTTCATAATAAAAACTCTACATTTCGTGTCCGCTCCATAACTTTTAAACCGCTAATTAACTTGGCACAAGTAATAACCATAATGAGACAATGAGCAAAGCGCGCAATATTTTGGTTGCTTCCCCCAAGGTCAGGGTCACATTTCAAGGTCAAATGTATAAAAGTCTACATTTCATGTCCCCTCCATGTTAAAAAGTCTTCATTTCATAATAAAATGTCTACAGTTCGTTTCCGCTCCATAACGTTTTAACAGCTGAAATTGTTTTGAAATATTTTGGCACAAGTGATTACCATAATGAGATAACGAAGTGTAGAACGCAATAATGGGGTTGCTATCCAAAAGGTAAATGTCACATTTTAAGGTTAGATGTGAAAAAAGGCTACATTTCGTGTCCACTCCATAACTTTTAACCACTAATTTTTTTTAAATATAACTTGGCACCATTGATCACCATCATGAGAACATGTGCAGAGCGCAATAATTGAGTTTTGCTTGCCCCAAGGTCAAGGTCACACTTAAAGGTCAAATGTATAAAAGTCTACATTTCATGTCCCGGCCATGAATTTTAAATACCCCCAGAGTCAAGGTTATATGTTCTTTTCTACTTTATGGAACTTTTTAATTTCTTGGCACCGTGAGACTAGGTGCTTATGATATACATGGTACAACATCAAGGTCATGGTTGGTAAAGGTCAAGAAGTACACATTCATGTTCACTGCGGAAGGGGATATAGCTGTCCTTCATACTGCCTTGTTTCAATTTATATTGTAATATTCTATAAGGAAATATCTTCATACAGACGCTGTGGTAGGAAATCATATCATTAAAATTATGACATTGATTGTATATCTTATTGACGTATTTTTGTATTTTCTTATTCCGCATCGATTGTGTATATATTGTTATTTCATTGAATTTTTTATGTGTAATGTATTGTATACGATTTATACTTGTTTTATTATCTTTTTGGACCATTTATAAGGGGCGTCCGTGCCCGAGTGGTTAAGGTCGTTGACTTCAAACCACTTGCCCTCACCGCTGTGGGTTCTTTCATGTGAGGAAGCTATCCAGCTAGCTTACTGCACGTCGGTGGTTCTACTCAGGTGCCCGTTCGTGCCTGAAATAATGCACGGCAGGGCACCTGAGGTCTTCCTCCACCAGTAAAGCTGGAACGTCGCGATATGACCTATACTGTGTCGATGTGAAGTAAAACCCAAAACAAACAAATGAATTTTTATATTAGGATTGTATTAAAATATCGAACCTACGCCCAGAGTTTAGTTCTATCCAGTGTAGAAATATTTTACCCTACAACATTTAAATTATGTATGAACAGCTGCTGCTAATTTGTGGAATCTCTTTTCATTTTCCCGACTATTCATAAGTTATTCGCAAAAGACGTAATGTCTACATGTCTGTTCAATTTAACTTTTCAAGGTCACTGTTCGCAACTCCAGATAATTTTATTCTTACATATATCAGTTTTAGAAACAATTCTTTATAGTTCATTGAAGCCTATGTGAATATAATAAGAAAGTCAAAATTTAACTGATTTTGAAGTAAAACTTGCTGCAAAGGGCTGATACCTCGGAAGCAGTGAAAACAACAATAATATATAAAAATTGCAGACTTAGTCTAATTGCGACTATTGGTCAGAGATAATGTTTAAGGGTAAGATTCTTCCGGCTCAATCGTTATACAATCTTTATCTCCGGCGTGCTAGAATCAATTATTCCCCTAGGAAACTTACATCTTGGAATATTGTTCCAATTAAATGTCATCAGAAAAATGTTAATTGTACAATCGAATGTCAAAACAGGTGTTACAACTTGTATTTGGCAGTTACATTTATCGTATATCAAGCCTTTATATGATTGTGTGACAAATTGGAGGCTCAGATCTTGGACGTAATTCCTTTACACAAAATTGCCAATTGTGTTGACAACCTAAATTGTAACCATAAATAAAATTTCCAAAATTAGAACTATAATTCACAACTTGGTAATGACGCTCAATGTTACTGCTTTTAAGGTCACTTGACCATCTGCGTTGGATCTGGTAGTTGCATTGTTCGTTTAATGGATTGACTCTTTCCAGAACAAACATAGCCTGCTTATGATTATCATCATCATCATCGGGCTCATAACGGCTACAAAACCGGTTTGCATGCATTACAATTATATTACAATTCTCATTACCAGCGGTTGCAACAAATACACTGCACCCAGAAAGCATGGAAGTAACAAATATAGAGTTAGTCCTTGGTACATATGGTAAAAAAGTATAAGATATTCTGTTATGTCCATCTATAGGAAGAAGAATCGCTTTAGGGAGCTTTCTGTAGAAAGAGAGCAAACTATGTTTTTGGACAGCTCTTAATGTATATGTGCCTTTCCATTCAACTTCCTCTATATCGCATTCGACTGTCTCCCAGCAGTCAAGGTTCCACGTCGTCCCATTTTCGAAATGACCTTTTTGATGTAAATATTTGTCCATTTCTTTCCGACATCCGTCCTCGTGACTGATGTTGTCACCTGCGAAGAAGAAATATTCCGTTTCCCGCAATAGACCTAACAATTTGTTCGTGACGTCTATGTTGTTACCTTCTATATAAGCGTTTGCGTCTGAAACAAAAGGAATACAATTCATCAGCTCTATATAAAATACGTGTACAAAGAAAGAACCGAGTCGAATTTAGGGCAACAAAACATAGGTCAAAATTTCAGTCTGAATGTAGAGAATCATTAGATAAAAAAGTTATTCTGTGTTTAATTTTAAAAGCTCGTTTGCACTGGCGTTGCTTATAAACGGTGATAGGGCGATTACCACAACTTTTCCGCGCAACGCCAAAATATCTTACTTCTGTCCAAGACACCGTATATTTCTGTGGTACAAAATGGACAGGAAGCCTGTAACCAAGACGAAAACAGCAGGTAATTTGCTCAGAACAAGGTTAAATCATCATTTTTTCTTTTTCATCGAATGTGCCATTTAATTTGATACTTATTTATCTTTACTACATGCAAAATGCTTCATTAATTAAGTCAGGATAGTGAAAACATTTAGGGCATACTGAAAAAAAATCCTGCTTTGATTACGAAATATAACGTATTTCTAGTCCGTTCAGTTCATATAACTGGTCAAAATACAATATAAATATGTACATTATTGTCGTATGAACAAGTTACAATACATAAATAACCCGTTTTTTTGTATATTTGGTATGATTTTTATGTTTCCACGTGTGTATTTTAAGGCACCGCACAACTTTGTCAATCATAAGATTAGGGCACCGCATTATTCCTCCTTAAAATCACCACATTTTTCTGGGTTTTTTTTAGCACCGTTTATTTTTGATATTAATGTTTGCTTTCAGAAAAAGAAGACGTTCAAACCTATGTCTGAACAAGACAAAGCAACGTGCGAAATTGGCAGCAAAGCTGCAGATACTGCAGCAACTGGAGAGTGCCCAACTAAGTCTTTTGATATCAGCAGCCCTGTATTTCAGGACGATATGCTTAACGCACCATATAACAAAAAGAGTATGAAGTCAAACTTTCGCAAAAGATTGTTTAAAAAAAGCACATTGGAGACCATGACTGAAGAGATTATATATGGAAATATTGCCCGGGTTCCTGCAAAAACTACACCATGAAAATGTGTGTTATGACTTTTGCAACTTTATCAAATTAGTATGCAATAAGAAATTCCCATTAACAAATATTTCATTCCTTTTGTTTCTCGATGTTGTTAGATAGTATAGTCTGCCAAGAACTTCAATCGTTCCATATGGGGTTTATCAGTTTGAATAAGGACATCCTTATCTATATATAGATACCATTGCACTTATCTAACTGGTAGTATTAACACAGATCAGACCTTCAGAAATTTTTCATAACATAACGTATGACATAACATAACAGCAAGTAAACAATGTTTCATCAAATAAAACATACTTGTAAGTAGATTGTATAATTCAAAAGAAGACGGTGCCAGTATTTATCGGTCTAACGGAAAAAGAATGCGGTGTTTGAATTCAGTGTTGTACGGTGCTCCAATATTCGGGTCAGTAGGCCTTTTTTCAACATATATTCCCTGAAATTTACGATAGAAACACACAATTTTGTATGGAACTTGAACTTAGGGTTAACCATAATAAATATACGAGCTCGTTAGGTCATAGAACAAAGACATCGTCGTTATAACTCATGTTTTTGTGACAAGTACGAGTCATCTTGAGGTACACACGATCTTTTGTAAACACTATTTCTTCGAAGTATGTGTTTTTGTGTGAATTGTATTGTGCTATATTAACAATAAATTGTCTCAAAAATTCGATGGAATACTTAAACAATTGGAATAATCTTGCAATGTCCAGCAGTAAGATATTTTGTAAGCTATTACCTGGAATTTGTTTATCCCGCCATTAATATTTTGTCCAGAAATATACGGTGTCTCGGTCAGAAGGATGATTTTTTGACGTTGCGCGGAAAAGTTGTGGTAATCGCCTTATCACCGTGTATAAACATAAATCGGCTTTATGTTATAAATATTTGTTGAGAAAATGTTTTTAGCTATGCGGATTAAAAGAAACTCAGAATAGCTCTAACACAGGATATAAACACTGCTTGAATGCATCAAAAGATCTATCAGAAAGAATTATAGTCTAAATCAGTGTTATGCAACAGTCTTTTTTAACACTGCCTTTTTTTTTAGTAAAATGCCGTGCGCTTCGACGTTTCGATTTTCACACCCTCTCCCGCCAAGCAGTAGCACTTAGATGGTAAAACCTCCGCTGGATATCCCTGCCCTTCGTGACAGCCTCTGTAACTTTGCAACAATAGAAACCCATATTATTGACCAGGCAGAGTGGTGACTATAAGAAACTCGTTTCTTTTTCTATGCATTGCACCATACATTTCTACATGTTTTCACGCACTGATCCGTAAAGTATTTTTCATATCCCCCAAAATTACATGGTCTGCTCCGTAAAAACTTCACTTATTTTCCTCGCTATCCCACACACTCTTTTTATTGATTTCGCTCCATTCTCTGATATCATAAGCATTGCTCTGTATAGACTTCACTCATTGCGCTGTCTTTTTTAAGCAATGCATATGATCTTCTATCCCACAAACTTCGACTTCGCTCAGTTTCCCTGCAATTCTATTGTTATGAGCTAATCGCAAAAGAGAAGATAACGCGGCAACAATTTTTACAAGTTTAGTTAAAGAAAAACAGTAATTTTTAATAATATAAAAATTATGAAAATAAAGTTTAACTCACTATTCTCCAAGACCTCGAATTTAATAAATGTCCTAAAGTATAACTCACAGTTCGAAATTCAATTGTCCACAACTCGGGTATTATCAATGTCAAGTGTCCACAGCAGAAGAAATAATATGTCCAAGAACACTTACAACACAGAATAACAGAATCCAAAGTAAAAAATATATTCCTATATTATTAACATTAGTAAAATAGCACACAATCAGTATATCACACACAATTTCACAAATTAGCACACACTCGAAGTACAAACATTCATCATATATATACTATCAATGAACAATCTAGAATACTAAACTACTTAGAGAAAGAGTATTTCAGAATGAACATGAACAGAACTTTCTTGAAAGAAGATGAATGAACATGAACATTTATGTAAACATTAAATAAATAAAATTATTAAAAAATGATAATGGAATAAGAAGGTATGGAACACGACATCGCGATTATTAGACCTGCGCTCTACCTACTGAGCTATTCAGGAAACAGACACTTAACACATTTAAAATAAAGCCTATATACATTACACTATGCACCGCTCCGGGCTGGGGCTTGTGCCCGGATCAAAAGAAATGTGTGCATTTTGTCTGAAATACCAATGTACTTCGGCTCTATTTCTTGTGCTTCAGCTTAAATTCCATTTATTGCTTAAAGCTGCCCACAGTCAGATGAGCCAAAATATTTCAAGTCAATATTGAGAAAAATGCACTAAACTTTTAAGATAAAAACATTCAAATCCAAGTTATATTTTACATGTTGTGTGCGGTTTAAGACTGATTTTGCAGTATTTTATCGCCATATATCTACTGCGTTACTAACGCAGTAAAGGCTGTCTTTGCATATCTTGGAATTTTCGTTGATTGTAAGTGCCGATTGCTATATGTAAATTACTTTATTTGTTCACCTCACAATATTTTACTTTTAAGAAAATTAACATGAATTTGGAAGGGTGCTGCTTTAATTCAACATTGAGCAAAATGCAGTATAAATTTAAATCCCTTAAAATAAGTTTAATTCTTAAATATCTTAATAAAAGTGTCAGTAATATTTTTTAAATACTTTTTATTGTGTTGTAATGTTTGTTCGTTGTAGCAATTGTTACAAACCAGACTGACAGTATATCGGATGGTTATCATAGTGACTATTTATGATGTCATACAATGTATGAACGCTTAAAATTTTCTGAAAATATATTTACCTTTATTAGTTTCACAAATCGATGCACCAGTGAATGAGAGTAGACCGACAGTTATGATTAGAAAAATATCTGGAAATGGAGGATGAGTATTCAATAAAATAAAATTTAATGCAACATTGGAAATTCTTAAAAACAAATTGTAAGAATTATTATATTATGTCCTGAATTTACAATTAAGTTTTTGAATATTTCAATTAACAAAATGAAAGAAAAAATGAATTAATGAATTTTCAGAAAAATATGTTTGTTTTTAGCCACACATGAATTGTAAGAAAATAGAATAAGACGTTTCAAATAAAAAAAATAGAACTCCTATTTCTAGTAGATTTAGTGATTAAAAGCCAACCATCCTCGTGATCTGATATTCTGGTATGATTTTTTTCATCTTTATTTAAATATTGATTTTAGAATACAATATAGCTTTATTTAATTAACTGTCAAATAAAATTGAAAAAAAAAAATAAACAGCTGAATTACCTATTTTATCGTGTAAATCCATTTTATCGTGTTCCTAATTATGTGTATCATACACTATGGATGTAAAGTCGTCTCTAACGGGTTACGTGATAAAACTCTACTATTCCCCTTGATACTATAAATAGATAAAAATTATGTGAACAGAATTACATGTGTTTATATGTAGGGCGGCGCAGCATTATAATTATACTACTTTTCTCTATTTATTAATCAGGCTTATTGCTGATTCGTTTTTAACTTAATTTATTTGAGTATCCGTTTAGCTACATAAATATACAGCTATGTAAGACTGTTGCAATAGATTATATGAGCCGCGTCACGACAAAACCAACATAATGGGTTGAGGCGAACAGCATGGATCCTGATCAGACTGCGCGGATGCGCAGGCTGGTCTGGATCCATGCGGGTCGCAAACCCATTATGTTGGTTTTGTCGTGACGCGGCTCTTATTCTCTACACAGCTTTAACCGAACATTATAATTATACTTCTTTTCTTCTATTTATTTTGTTTATTTTCTACATCATTACATCATAATCATTTTTAATAAGCAGCTGCAATTATTGTGTTTTTCTATTATTATATGTAATTACTACTGTCATTATCATAATTATGATACTTATTATTCTGACAATAATTATCATTATTTTATTATTGTTATTATTTCAGTTTTTGATATTATTATATAATCTAAATTCTTTTAGGTTCATTTCATCGTCATTTTATAACAATTCGGCTTTTCGGTTTTTAGAAGGTTGCCAAAATTAAATGTTTAACATTTGAAAATTTGAGGTTTCGGTTCCGGCATTTTCTGAAAATTGTTTTCGCTTTCGGTTGATAAGTTAATGCGTAAATGTTTCTGTTTAGATTTATGTTAGCGCAAACATTTAACAAACAAAAACTGACTTGTAAAAAGTTCTTTTAAACCTGACGTTTCCAGATGTGAAGCAGCATTTTAAAATATCAAACATATGGCAAATCTGTTTATAGCAAAACAAACAAAAACAAAATGTAAATATATTATACGATCCAAGTAACGTTTTAATCATCATCACTGTTTAACCTTTTTAAAACGGCGCCAAGTTGAATTATTTTGATTTCTGAATTTGCTGTGAGACGTAAATGCACTAAGCTATCTAAAATATAATTTTTTTTACTTGGGATGATCTGTATTGAATAAATAATATTGTAATTCAAGAATCAAGAAGCGCAATGCGATTGGAACGGAGTGTCTTGTTCATTTTTGTACAACTAAAATTATATTTGAGAACAAAGCATAAAATAAAAGATATTCAGTTATGCATTAGATTCCCCCAGCTTATATTTCATGAAATGTTGACGTGCAACTGAAGTTTTTACACATTTTCTTATTTGAACAAAATGTACATATAATGTACCACTTTGTAGACGAATCTAGCCATTTCTACGGTGTCCATTTTGTGCCAACATTCACTCATTATTTAATTTGAACAAAATTTGCATACATAATGTGCGTTAAATAATGTAATTTGTATGTATAGCATACGATATTTTGACTACAGTATTTTTTACAGGTTAAAATATGAATTTACAATGACAAATTATAGTAACACATTTGTTTTATTCAAAATGAAACGAGCTGAAATTAGACATTATATCTTTTCATCAACTATGTACAGTATGTGTACTTTACATGTACTTTTTGTTATTTGTATCACACCATTGGCTGGTGTACTTTAAGTTCAGTCATCAAGCTTGTAGAAAGTTCTACAAGCATATACTGTCCGTCTTTATAACCTGATAAAGACGATGAAAAACTTATACTATTTAGTTACAAAGTGTTCTAAAATATCCCAACATATAGACTCCCACTTGATCCATCAGATGAATCATTAAAAGAAAGCGAAGCGCCTAGCTGTTTATAGGCTGGACATAAAGCAATGTAATATGCATCATAATCTCTTACATTGAAACGTTTGTTTATTTTACTAATATTGTAGTCTTTTTTTAAATATTATAAAAAGGATTAAAATACTCTTTTTGCTCAAGGAAACCTTGACGTGCCTGACGGTGTTTGAACCAACATGGCTACCGATCTTTTGATTACTCGTCCGTCCAACGTGATAACTTTGTCGGCCATGACGTTACACTTCTGTTAAATACTAATGTCAAACGTAAGTTTAACTTAATCAAAATAAAGATCGAATTGGTTCCTACTAGTTATTGCATTGCATAAAGAGAGAAATACACATTTGACTTTCTTAACAACATCTAAAATTATTTAAATACAAGTATTTGTCCAATGGATTGTAAGCATAAATCGTTCGCGAAAAAGATATCAAAATATTTCCTTGTCCTGTCCTTGACCAATTTTCCATCCAAGGACAGGTACTTTGACGGTTTACCTTGTCTTTGAGTCATATGGCATACACATGATTTTAATAAAAACAAGAGCTGTCGGTAGGACACCAACGCTCGACTATTCTTAATGCTTGATAGTAAGAAAGACTTGATAATGTAAAAGTATCAAACTTAACTAAAGGGCAAAATTTTTCTTTAGATCCATGTTACAGTTATATGCATTGGAGAAAGTCCTATTATGCTCACAAAGAACATTATAAAATTTCAACTTGTTTAAAAGCCAGATGTCAATAGAATATGAACAAATCTGAGGTGGTATGCAAACTTAAATCTTCATTTTAAGTTGAAAAAGGGGCATTATTCTGCCAAATGTTTCATAGAGTTACCCCTACCTGTCTACAGGGTAGGGTCATGATGGTGATCAAATGTACAAAGTTTCAAAGCCATTATGTCAGTGGACTTTCATGGAATGTCACTACTGTGTCACATTGAAAATTCCATGATAACCGCCGTATGAACACATCTGCGGATGTTTCTAAATTCAAAATATCACCATTTTCGTGTTAATGTTGAATTCTGCTTAAGCTGGTGCTAGGGGGGCGTGGACGGTAACTTGCACTTTCCAGTACTGTCCATGAACAGGCTCAATCAAACCGAGCCTGCAACATTTTTAATTTTGTCGTGTTGGACTTTCTTTAAGGATTCTGTATTTCTCTACTTTATATTTATCTAAACTCAATATTTCTTAAAAAATACGTACTTTCAAAGTATATTCATGGTAGAAACAATTCAGAGAAAATTCATCAGAAAGTTTTATGTTCTTATAAATTCCTACACATGTCAACGTTACCGCTGGGAGTTTATCGATAAATCTCACTAGCATGAAGTATGTACTGCGGGAAATCCGTTGTTAACTCGCCAGATGGAAGGTTGTTTCACTGTTTTTCTTTCTGCAAAAGTTTTATTTAGCCCTATATATAAATTAATTAGTGAAAATCTGGAGCTAGGGTATCCAGCCAATGACTCAAACGTTTAGTATAGATTAATATACACGTGAGTCGTTGATACTGTCATTTTGCAGTTGATCAATACTGTATGGTTATCTATATGTATATTATTCTAAAATATTAACGTCCAGCTGACTAGAATGTATACATATTTATTAGAAAATTTGTTAGTTATTTGTTAAATCTTCGTCAGTTCGTAAAAAAGTACCACATAGTGAATGGGCCTATTCAATTCTATATTTACAGGGGAAAAACAGACAACAAAAAATATCAACAACAAAACAACCCTAAAAATAAAAGGTCTCCGGCATAGATACACGTTTTCCTTCTATTATTATTTTAATTATTATTATTATTGATACGAAGATTTCTGGAAACTTGATAAAGAACTCTCTATTTCAAAAAGTGTATCAACCTCCAATGTTTCTTTTATGAAGGGGTTTGCAGTTTAATTTTTATCTTTTCTACACAGTCTACAAATCATTACAGGAAAATGAAGATCAAGATAACACTTAACGTGTTAAAATTAAAAGAACACGTTTCCTCATATTATGAAAACGTGATTTAGAAACTCATTTGTTTTTTTTTTAGTAACGCGAACGGTAATTTCATCAACTTTTTCAAACGATTATGTTGGAATATCCCCTATATCATTTACGTCTAACCATTTCCCGCATATATGTAAGAAAACCGAAGTATAAGTTCTATGAATTGTGTTATTAATAGATTAATTTTTTAAAAGTTTTTGTTGTAAACGAAGATTATGCGGAGAAATTTTACACATTCTTTGGTTATCTTTTAAGAGCTGTAAAATACAATTTTCCTCTTATGCCGGCGATTTATTTTAATAATTTTTTCAATTTCATTTATTTAAATAAATTAGACCGGAAGTAAGATGCTATAAACATCAATCACTTCACAGGCAAATATCAGTTAAAAATTATAAAGATTCTCGTAAATTCTGTTGATAATTTAAAGCACGGCTGAAGCCATGTCCTAAATAATTTACTCCCTGATAAACTTCAAATATCTGCCTTTCCCCCGATGCTCGACTGTATTTACAAAACAACTTATTAATTATCCTTTAAATTTCTGTCTTTCATTTAATGTATCCAAGATATGAAATTTAGTACTTTAATCTTATAATGGACTATCAACTTATGATGAGTTGCGCTAGAAATGATGACTTAACTTAAAACTTTAAAAATACAAAGTATTGGGTGCCTTCATTTCAGCACGTCTTTCTCCATGTTCTCTGCGTGAAATATATATTTCCCTGTTCTGTTCTGTTTGTAAAACAGATTTGACCACTGTGGACAAAAGGATCTGCCTGACTTTCTTTCATTAAACTATTCGCTACTTCAATTCTAGTTGTACCGAAAGGACATTCGGAACTTCCTCGGCTATTATCTATAATAACCTCAGAAACAATACGGATTGAATGTAGTTTTACCACGTGGTTTCAGATGTAAACAGAAACAGAGATAATGTAAAACGAATGTATATATTTGACATCTTATGTCTGTTCAGGTACTCTTATGCTTGAAAAAATATGTCAACAATTTGTAATTTAAATATGCCCACTGATGTTTAATTTTAAACAAATCCGACTAATTGTCAACAGGTTGGTTTTTATTTGTTTGGGTCGTCAGACCAAACAAATAATGGTAGCGAAATTTCAGAGTCTTATGTTCTTAATTGCAAATGCCGAAAGTAGTCCACTTTTTTGAAGCGGTTACTTCCTTTTTGTATGTACACTAAAGCCGAAAA